TTGTCCCATTTTTCTCAGTCTCACTCCAACCTCGATGTCAGTCTCATTTTACAACAGTGGCACTATGAAGTAGCTGTCCTTTTGTGACTGTGATATTTCACTCAGCATAATGTCCTCCAGGGTCATCCATTTTTAATATTTCAGGAGTTCCTTGTTTTTCAATGCACTGTAGTATTCCATTGTGTGAATATACCACAGCTTTTCCATTTGTTCATTGATGGGCACTTAAGTTGTTTCCAATTATTTGCTATTGTGAACAAAGCAGCAATAAACATGGGTGTGCATATGTCTGCTTGGGTGGTGGTTATGGTTTTTTGGGATATATTCCCAGGAGTGGAATTGCTGGGTCAAAGTGGTTGCAACATTTTCCACTCCCACCAACAGTGAATAAGGGTTCCAGTTTCTCTACAACCTCGCCAGCATTTGTTGTTTGCTATTCTGTTCAATTTTGCTATTCTTACTGGGGTGAGATGATATCTCATAGTTTTGATTTACACCTTTCTTAGAGCTAGGGATTTTGAACATTTCTTCATGTGCTTGTTGGCCATCTGAATGTCATCTTTGGTGAAGTGTCTGTTCATATCCTGTGCTCATTTTGCAATTTGGTTGTTTACCTTTATCTTGTTGTGGTGCTTGAGTATTTTATAATTTCTAGATATAAGTCCCTCATCTGACATATCATCACCAAATAGTTTTTCTCAGTCTGTGGCTTCCCTTTTTACCCTGTTGGAGAAGTTTTTGGATGTGCATATGAATTTGATTCTTAGAAGGTCCCATTCATCTATTTTATCTTCTCCTGATTGTAGATTTTTCAGGATGCTTGGAAGATTGTTTATGTTGTGGATTAGGACTTCTAGAGCTCTTCCAAGCTTTTCTATAATGAAGTTTATTGTCCTTGGTTTTAGTCCTAGGTCCATGATCCACCTTGACTTGGTTTTTGTGGATGGAGTGAGGTGTGGATCTTGCTTGAGTTTTCTACAGATAGTTTTTCTTTTTGCCAACACCATTTGTTAAAAAATGCTGTCTTTTCACCACTTAACTGATTTCATCTCCTTGTCAAAAATCAGTTGACCATAGGTAGGTAGATGGGCTGATATCTGGCTTCCCTATTCTATTCCATTGATCTATATGTCTGTCATTGTACCAGTAGTGCCGTGTTTTCTTGACCATATGGCAGTGTAGTAGGATTTGAAATAAGGGAGTGAGATGCCTCCTACTTTGTTTCTCTCTTTTTTTTTTTTTGAGGGGATTTATTTGTAAATTGATTTGTTTCTCTTTTTAAGGAGTACTTTGCATATTCAGAGCTTCTTTCCATTCCAAATGAAACTGGAGATTTCCTTTTCCATCTCATTGAAGAATGGGATTGGTATTTGTATTGGGATTGCATTGAACATGTAAACTGCCTTTGGTAGTATTGTCATTTTGACAACATTGAGTCTTCCTATCCATGAGCACGGGATATTATTCCACTTCTCATGATCTCTTTTTGTTTCTTGTAGTAATGTTTTGTAATTTTCTTTGAATAAAGCTTTGTATTTCTGGTTACATTTACTCCCAAGAATTTCATCTTGTGATTAGTTATTGTGACGGGTATTGTTTTTCTTAGCTCCAGCTGTGTATTCTCTTTGTCACTGTAGAGAAATCCAACTGATTTTTGTATGTTGATCTTATATCCTGCCACTTTGCTGAATTGGTTAACTATGTCCAGTAGTTTCCTTGCTAAATCTTAGGATTTTCTAAGTATACTATCATATCATCTGCATTACTTCCTCTTTGCCAATTTGGATACCTCTTATTCCCTTCTCTTGTCTTATTGCTGTTGCTAAGACTCCCAATACAATATTGAATAAGAGAGGTGATAGTGGGCATCCTTGCCTAGTTCCTGTTCTTAAAGGGAATGCCTTTAACCTCTTTCCATTGGGAACAATATTGGCTCTTGGGTTTGTGTATATCCTTTTTATTATGTTGAAGAAATTCCCCTCTAATCCAATTTTGAGTGTTTTAATCAGGAAATGGTGTTGGATTTTGTCAAAGGCTTTTTCTGCACCAATTGATTGTATCCTGTGGTTCTTGGTCTTTACTTTGTTAATGTGATGAACATTTTAAATGAGAAAACCAATGTTTAGAAAGATTAAGTCAATTGCTTGTGGTCACATGGGATTCCAATCCAGGCCAATGTGGCTCACAAACCTAGATGGTGCAGATCGGCTATAACCAAAACCAAACCAAATGGCTTCAGTTTGTTCTGACTCATCACAAACCCTGTGAGGAGAGAGTTGAGTAGAACCACCCACAGAGTTCCATGGCTATAATCTTAAAGGAAGTGTACTGCCACATCTTCCTTCCTCACAGTGGGTGGATTCTAATGACTGGCCTTTCTGTTTCCAGTTTAGTGCTTGCATTGAACCACTAGCACCCCTGGACTCTCCTGTGTTCCCAGGTCTTCCATCCAGATGGTCTTCCAGAATGCAAGAGTCTATATTCAGAACCACAAAGTGATCTCTTCCTGAGATGACTTGTTCAGATGTCAGCATCAGGAGGTTGCCAGAATCAATTAGAAAATACTATTCCATTTCCATGTCATTGTTAGTTGGTTGGCCTTCCTTATTTTTTTCCCTACCTAACATTTTTAGGAAGAGATTGAGATTGTTAACAGCTTCAGTTTGCTTGGCTCTACAATAAACACTCTTGGTACCAATAGCCAAGAAATTAAAAGATTAATTACATTGGGAAAGTCTGCTGTCAGAGAACTCTCCAAAATACTGAAGAGCAATGATGTAAGTCTGGGGACTAAGGTGCACCTAATTCAGGTCATGGTCTTTGCAATTACTTGCTATTCATCAGGAAGCTGGACAATGACTAGGGATGATAGAAGGAAAGTTGATGCCTTTGAGCTGTGGTGCTGGAGAAGAGTATAATATACCATGGACTGCAAGGAGAACAAAAGTTCGTCCTGGAGAGGGTGAAGCCGGGCTGCTCCTTGGAGGCAATGATTCTGAAGCTTTGTCTGACATACTTTGTACATGTTGAAAGGCAGGATTAATCCTTGGAGAGGGAAACATACATGCTTGGGAAAGTGGAGGGACAGCACAAGAGAAAAAGACCCTCGATGATGTTGATTGATTCAGTGACTGGGGTGTGTCGGAGACAATAATACTGGCACAGGATAGAGCAGGGTTTTAGGACTCGGCAGCACATAACAACAACAATTATTTTATAGATGGATTGAAACCTTTTCTTTCTTCTTTATCTTTATAGGATGGAACCAACTTTCAGACTTCAATCTTTTAACTTGGCTACAGAGAAATATTTTTCATATCAGGTGCCTTCATTGCTCTCAAAAGGATTTGGACAATAAAAAGTCCCCAAAGAAACAATACAAAACCAACCAAACCAACCCTATTTTTAAGTAGTTCCAACTTTGTTTTAAAACAGCCATATGAGGACTGTTTCCAAATAGCTTTGCGTGAAGCCAACCACATTTGAAATGGATTTTTCCTATGAAGTAGGCACATCCTCATTGTGGCTGGAGAAGCAGACAATACCCAGCTGGCATCAAATCCTAGCAAATATGCATAGAGTACTTGTTTAAAAGTTATGGGAATGTTAAAGTTCATGTTGATTGGTTTTTGCATTTACCTGGCAGGAGTCCTGCCCTAGCGTTGGCATGGACACTGGAAAACTAATTTTTCCACCAGTCTGTCACTTGCTGTTTCCACTTACTTGACTGTGTGTCCAATTTTAATAATTTTTTAAAGGGGAAATAAAATTTACTTCTTTTTTTTTTGTCTTAGGATGTTTCTCAAACACTAAAACGTGTGATGAGGTTTTCAAAATCAGTCAGATATCTGGGTTTACAAATATTCAGCTGTTTCACATTCAGATAATTTTTGTCCTGCCCAGACCAGAAATGAGTCCGAGTGCTTTGGCAAGGGGAATGCCACTCTGAAAGCAACTTTGACTCTCCCCGCCTTTATTTAAGAGGCTGGAAAATAGACTTGTCTCCCTTGCAACAGTGCAGAGGACAGGGTGAGCGCCAGACTCTGGCGGAGTGGGAACCGCAGTTGTGTTTCTTTGGATTCTAGCAGGTTTGACATGATCACACCTGGGATCCTTCTGAAATCCCAGTCGTAGAGGCTGGGATCTTAGAGTAAGGCTGTCAGAGATTGAGGGCAGATTTGTCAGTTGCCCTTTGGGCTATGCTTAAGCAGTGGCCACTCTGTTCGCATTTCCGTGAATGAACCAAATGCACTAACGCCACACTGCATTTTATAAGAAGCTTTTTTCTGGACTGGAAACTAAAGAAGGAGAGACTTCCCGCTGGCCCTGCCGGCTGGCACAAAAAAACAGCACCCCGCTTCCTTTGGCACCATCCTGAGCCTCTGTGGCTGAAAGGAGGGAACGTCATGAGTTAAGTCAGGGAGGAGAGAGGGTCAAGAACAGATGTGAAATGAAAGATGTGAATAAACAGAGTCCCGCAGCTGGAAACGCAGCCCCCAAGCTTCACCAGGACGTGGCATCAGTGCTGCTTTTGCGCCCCTTTGTTCTTCCCCCGCCTTTGTCCACGACTGCAGTTTGTTTGATGTCTGTTTTCTCCAAGTTACTCGTCCATGAGGGCAGACCTGGTGGCTACCAGGTCCTGGACAGCCTCTGGCGAACCAGGCGCTGCTTGGGCTTGCACAGCACACGGTGCAAGGCGCACAGAGGCTCTCAAGATGGGGGGAGCCGTCTGGAGGGTGCGTACGGAGGGGCAGCTCCAGCAAGGCTGCAGGAGTGGGGGCCAGCGGGGCCGATGGCAGGAACAGCGGGAGTCGCCCCACCGGGCCGCCCAGAGGGCGCGGGCACGTGGTCGTCAGAGGGCGTGGGAGGGGGCGCGCTGGCGGGCGGCTGAGTCATTGCCGCCCACCTTATAACGGCCCTGGCGGTCCGCGCCCTGCCTGCACGCTCAGAGCCAAGCGCCAGTCGCCCAACCGCCCAACCGCCGCCCAGTGCCGGGCGCCATGCGGAGCCCGCGCCCTGCCCTGCTCCTGCTGCTACTCTTGCCGGCCCTTCTGCTCACGCCGCCCGCCGGGCACGCTGCTGTCATCACTGGGGTGAGCTCCTCGCGCCCTGTCCGCCCCGCCCACCCGTCCTCATGGGGTACCTGTCCTCCGGAGGCATCTGGGCACCTGTCTGCCCAGCGCACCTGTCCGCCCCGCGCATCTGCCCTCCCTGCTCATCTGTCCCCCCCGAGGCGCTTGGCCGCCCTGGAACACCTGTCCACCCACAGGAATGTCTGTCCTCCCAGGGCCCCAGGAAACACTCAGGCAGGATTACCTGCCTCCATTGCCCCTTAGAGCTCCTTCAAGTGCCTGCCTTGCTCTTAAAGCAGCAGACAGTCCCCTGGAAGAAAAGTGGTCAAAGCGCCACTCCACCACCTTCCCCACTACCTTTCCCGCTGATTTGCTCAGCACCCACAAACACTCATGTTCGGTTGGTTTGTTAAGCAGAAAGAAGTTTAATTCCAAAGTCTTGTGGAGCATTCCTGAGGCGCTCACCAGCCTGGACTTTGCTGAAATAGCACTGAGCAATGGCCACATCCCCAGACGCCGAGTTTCAGAGCTTCAGGGATTTGATTGCTGCTGAGTCCTCCTTTTCCTCTAGAAAAGAGGTTCCGCATAATGCAAAGCCATCTATGCATTTTGAAAAGCAATTGTGGGCGCTTTGCAGGGGTCAGAGTCCTTTCCTCCCTCTCATTTTTCAGACAGTCCGTCAAAGAGCCTTCCATTTCTGATCCTAATAGACCACATCAAGGGACCCAATGTCATTAGTGGGGTTGATTGTAAATGAATATATTTCAACTTAGAGAAATTATCTTTAAAAGTAGGGCTAGCTAGTTTAGCCCTCTCCTACTCTCGTCAACAGTTTTATGTGAATCAGAAGGGTGAGTTTACAGTACCCCTCCCAAGAAAAGTGGGGAGACGGGGTAGATCTTTGATCTGCAGTGCTAAACTCCTACTATTTCCTGATTGTCCAACTGCCTTGCTTTTTTATTGTTTAGAATTCATTTATACCTTAATTAAATTAATTATAATATCTAAGTGCACGATTTAAGTAAAACCTCTCTATTTGAAATTATATATTTAGGGTTGGGGGGCTGTTTCCTGGAAATTCACTTTATGTCCACTCATTTCTACCAGTTCTAATTAGGACAGCTTTTATCTGTACTCAACATTGGTGTAAGGAAGAAATTATATATTTGTAATGAATTTCTTTTAGGAGAAATGTTTTCTTCAGAGAGTCAAGCTCTATTGTATCTGTGAGTTGTTAAAATGCTTGTGGACATACTGAAAAGCCCTGTTCCATAAACAGTATTTGGGTTTACTCAACAGACATTTAATTATATTCTTTGTGATAATAATTTAAAGATTTAAAAAAATTATCAAAGTAACTTTGTTAGTAACTGGTCAAGCTGATTGAAAGAAAGTTTTTAAAGGTCTTTCTAATTCATGATACTTGAAACCAAATTGGATTTTTCCTTCTTCCCCTGCTGGTTTACTTTAAATTTCTCCTAATCTTCTGAGTCCAGATTTCTTTGCAATATAAGTATCTTTTTGTTCCACTCACAACACTATTTGAATAGATCTGCAATAGATTAAGTATGAAGATTACTAGGAAACAGCTATCTAATTAAAAATATATAAACCTATACAGTTCTTTGTAAATATTTCTAAGAGCTACAGCTTTATGCTACATAATGAGATTTTATCATATTCTATGTTTATTACAGAAATTTAGTTTATGCTTATTATAAAGTTGTGTATTGTTTGTAGTGTTTGGTGTTTGTTTTAACTCATTACAGTAAGAGATTTTTAAAAACTTCTCTGAAGCATCATAGCAATGAAGAAATCTAGTTATGTCTCTATGACATAACCAGGAACCATATGGTTTCAAATTTAAAAGTCACCAACTTACCTAGATATATTGTCTATAGGATGTTAGACATTGAAGGGATTATATTTTTAAAATTTTGGCTAGATTTTTATATTCAATTTTTTAAAAAAGAATTCAAAGTCTTGAACATCTATTGAAATAAAATAGTAACTGAAGTCCCCACTTTTAAATATTTTTGTAGTATTTGCACATATTTTGAAATTGATTTATATCTCCATACAGATTTGTTAAAATTGCCAGAAGATCATTTACTAAGTCTTGTATGCAAGTCAGGGAACTATATAAATTTTAAAACTTAAAAGTTGGTTAAGAAGCATAAAATCTTATGTGAGTTTTCCCCCATTTACAATAAAATAATAAGACTTCTTTCATATATGTATATCTGTCTTCAAAACTTAAATCTTTGAAAGACTATTTCAGATATCCCCAATAAATGTGTTTAAATTTGTCTAAATTATAGACTTTGCACCTTCTTCCATATTTAGTAAACTGTTCTTATTACTCATAGAACAGATTACAGCATTCAAATAAAGCACCCTATTCAAATTGTCTTCCTGTCAAACATTCTTCTAGGTGGTATAGCACTGGTCTGTGCATTGCTGTACAGAGGTAACTCGTGGTTGCTGTGATGCTGAAGCCTGTGACAGTGATGTGCCAATCGTGGTAATGGGCACCCATGGTGGACAGTGTTGGCTGGAGCTTCCAGACTAAATCAAGCCTGGAAGCAGGAGTGTCATCCACTTCCAAAATGGCTTGCCTCCGGAAACTCTATGTAGGAACAGTGCTCAGGCTGTTCGTTCATAGGGTCACTATGAGTCGTCTACGACTCGACGGCATTAAACAACAACATTTTCTTTTGTGCGTGTGTGTACCATCAACCTGGATCTGACTGGTACAGGACTGGTACTGTCCTTCTCCAGCAGAGTATCTGGTGGATTTGAACTGCCTATCTCTGGGATTATAGCGCAGTTTCTTGCCACTAGGCCATCAGCGCTCCCTAAAGAACCCTAATTTTGATTGCTGTTTGAATAGCTCTTTATATCCATCTTCATGCAAATGAAGTGGCTTCTCCGTATTTAATTTGGTGATGTGTATGGACAATTTCTACATTGGGAGCATATGACTTAAGTTATAACTTAATAAATTGTGATGGTCACTTGTATTTCTTAAACTGATAGGATTTACAGGGCAGTTCAGTTGATTTTGTAAAGTATATCTATGTATATTTAAGCCAATGATTTCCTTTGTACAGTTACTACCTTGGGAAAAAAGCACGGTAAAGCAAAATTCCCCATTCTTAACCTGTGAAAGTTCTCGCCTATCAGAGGAAATTGGAAAGATCACCTCAATGATGTGAGAAGCATCAAGAACTAAAATGAAAATGTTTTTAAGAGGAGAGTGAGGACTTCCAGATTCTACACTAATGCCTTTATGAAGCTGGAGCATTTACTTACTAGAATTCGATACCATTACATTTCTTTTGAAAATTAAGTCCAATGTAGTCTGCAGCTAATCTTCATAAAATCATGTGACTCTGTTCATGTAGTTCTTTATGGTATAGTATAAAGCTAATTGTGACTCATTCTTCAAATATAGAGATAACTCCCTTTTTTATTATTAATTTCAACGAACATCTACAGATATTTTGGAATTCCATTCATTCATTAATGCACTTTTCTCCCCACCCACTCACCCCCACCCCCATCCCCAGTTCGCTCCTCTCCTTGAGATAACTCACTTTTAAGGCATTAGAGGAAAGATTTTATTTCTTTTCTGCAATCTCAAGATTTTCATAATCCAGGAGTTAGTACTCCCTATTTTTTTTTTCAAAACTGGATGAATCTACGTGATTCTATTTTCAATTTATGCAAGAAAATTAAGATTATAGTCTCCTTTCCATATAAAATAATAGTGTTCAAGTGTTTGAAGAGCATTTTTTCAATCTGTTTGTTTCTTGCATTCCAGGCCTGTGACAAGGATCCCCAGTGTGGTGGAGGCATGTGCTGTGCCGTTAGTATCTGGGTTAAAAGCATAAGGATTTGCACACCCATGGGCAAAGTGGGAGACATCTGCCATCCACTGACTCGTAAAGTTAGTATATATGTCTGTTTGTCTGTGTATCTCCAAGGCATCACTTGTGTGTCGGTTACTTCATGCAGCTTGGATCATGTGGTGTGAAGGCCAGGATAATGATAGTAGTAAACAGCCCAAATGTCCAACCACAAACGAATGGATTGAGAAATTATGGTATATTCACACTATGAAATAATATGCAGCACGCAGGAGCAATAACTTTGTAAATTATTCCCTAACTTGGTGGAGAGGGGTACTGGAAAGCATTATGCGGAGTGGACTAACTCAGTTCCACAAGGAAAAATATTATATAAAACCATTATTGTAGAATGAGTACAAGGATCCAGGAGAAGTGGGAGAGGCTGGAAGCAAAGAGATGTGGATGTGCAGGAGGAGGGGGGATAATCATTGAGTTGTACAATTTGATGTGTGGAGGGCTGAGGGAAATTGAAAGAATTTGTTCAAATTTGTATTTGAGTTTTGTAAATAAACTAGCAGAGAAAAAATAAGAGTCACCATGAGTCAGAACTGACTTGATACCAGTCAGGAAAAAATAACTCACAACCTAACATAATGTGGACATTTTAAGACAAAAAATGTTTTAAGCCATGAGTCAGATGTCTCAGTGCCTTGGACATTGATCTGTTTCTTCATCACTCCTTACTGCATAGCCATCTACTATACAGTAAAAGAGCCATTGTTTATTGGTATGGTTTTTTCTTTCTTTTTTAATTATTATTAAATTTTATTAGTTTTAATGAA